ATATTTATTTATTTTTGTGGAGCCAGGGATTGAACTCAGGCCATTGTGCTTGTGCTTGCCAGGCAAATGCTTATTCAACTGAGCTATCTTCCCAGCCCCAAAACATATATTTATTATGTGACCCAGCAAGTAGGCACTTAAGTATTATCCAAGGGAAATGAATGTATATAGCATTATTATATATAATAGCCAAAAAACCCCAAAATAGCGCAAATATCTATCAGCTGGCAGATGGATAAATACAATGAAGTATGTGCATACATTGGAATATTTTTCAGCCATAAAACTGGTATATTGATATAAACTATAACATGGATAAATATTGAAAACATACTACATCAAAGAAACCAGTCACAGAAGATCATATGTACTTTTTTTCATATAAGATATGTGTGAGATTAAACACTTGTTTAGGCAAGCGCAGGGACTTGGGTTCGATTCCCAGCATCACAGGCTGCTCTGGCCCCGCCCCCAGGCACACTGAGCCAGCAACTGAGACCGAGCATGGTGGCACATGTCTGTAATCCGAGCACTGAGGAGGCTGAAAACAGAAGGATCACTATGAGTCTGAGCTGCATAGTGAGACCCTGTACCAAATGCATAAAAAACAATAAATTAAAAAATATCTGTGAGATTAAATGTATGTAGACAGAAAGTAGTTTAGTGGTTGCCTAGGACTGGTAATGGTGAATTGAGAAAGGGATGAGTAGTAATAAAGGGGTGGGGACTTTTTGAGGTGATGAAAATATTCTAAAGTAACTGTGGTGATGGTTGTATATGTCTGTGCATGTATTAATAACTATTGGATTCTATACTTTAAATATGTAAAGTATATATGTGAATTGTGTCTCAGGGAAATGTAAAAATGGTGCTGTAGAAGCTGAAGCAGAATTGCTGTGAGTTTGAGGCTATCCTGAACTAATAGCAAGGTTAAGCCTAGCCTAGATTCTGTCAAAAAAATTTTTTTTAAAAAGATGCTTCTGGGAGAATTGGACATCTACATGGAAAAGAATATAAGCTGGGGATGTAGCTTGGTTGTAGGGTTTTCTTAGCATGGATAAGGCCCGGAGTTTGTTTCCTAGCTGGAAAAAAAGTTCATGAAGATTAGACTTACAAAAGTCAGAAGGGCCGGCCAAATAGCTCAGCGTATTAAAGTGCCTGCAAGCAGGCACAGGGGCCGGGGTTTTGATCCTGGCCTGCCGTGCCAGCCCCGCTCCTGGGGCATGCTGAGATGGCAGTTGAGACTGGGCATGGTGGCATGTGCCTGTAATCCCAGCTCTTGGGAGGCTGTAAACAGGAGAATCACTGTGAGTCCGATCTAGTAGTGAGACCCTGAACACCCTGTAGACCCTTCCCTAAAATAAGAAGAAAATAATCAATCTTTTGCCCTTCAATAAATGTCCTTAAAAACATGAGTAGCATGAAGTGCTGGCACATTCAAAATGTTTAAGTACCTTAAAATATTAAGTGAAAGAATCCAGAGACAAAGGCTACATATTGAATGTATCTGTTTAAATGAAATAACCAGTATAGGCCAGTATATTCTTCATAGCCAAAACGATGTAAATTAGTGTTTACCAGGGGCTTTGAAAACAGAAAAGAGAGCAACTGATATTGGGTGTGAGCTTGTTTTGGGGGAATATAAAATGTTCTACCACTACATAGTCATTATGGTTGCTCGTCTTTATTAAAATACTTAAAATGACTGATCTCTCAACATCTTAAAAGTGAGAGTTTTATTTTTTTTTTTTTTGTGGAACCGGGGATTGAACTCTGGCCCTTATGCTTTCCAGGCAAGCACTTATTCTACGAAGCAATCTCCTCAACCCCATGAGTTTTATAGTATGTGAATTTATCTGTTTTTAATATATATATATATTTTTTTTTCAGGTTTTTATAACAGAATATTATAGACTAGCTAGTCCAGTTTAAATCTCCACAGAAGAGAGAGTTGTAAGAACAACTTACAAGAAATAGAATAGTCTTTTAATCATCTTACTTTGTTAGTAGCTGAGGAAATAACTTTGTTCAAGGCTGTTCTGAGTTTAGCAATACTAGAATGATATGGTAATCATTTTTATATGGTTTGTAGTAAAAGGTACAAAACATTATGTGCTAAACATTCTTTTTCCTGCTTTTGTGCACTAATGATTACTTTCCCCTCATCAGATGGTCTCCCCTCACATGTTCCTTTCATGGCCTACTCTTGGAATTTACAACTTGTTATTCCACCATTGTCTTATTCATTAGAAGTGAGTCACTAAGTTCAGTATATATACTCAGGGTGGAAAGAATTAAATTCCACCTCTTGGATTCAAAATAGTTAGGGTAGATATACAGCCACTTTTTCTTAATTCATTGAGAAGAAATATTTGTAGTAATAGTGTTTGGACAGGATATCATGTCTGCATCTTGTACTATGAATAACCATTAAGAAGACAACAATATGCAATGTATTAAATATTATTTTTATTTATTATTATTATTATTATTATTATTATTATTTTTTTGGCAGAACCGGGGATTGAACTCAGATCCTTGCGTTTGCCAGTCAAGCGCTTATCCTACTGAACCATCTCCCCGGCCCCATGTATTAATTATTGAAACTGTCCTACTAATCGGTTTTGAAACTGTCTCATTGCTATTTGTTTCTCAGTAAAATTATTAAGAAAAAAGAAAGAACAAAGAATTTGTGAATATATTTTAAAACACCACAGGAGGGCACAATGAACAATACATAGAAAAAATAAGCAAACTACATATGTTAGAAGGTGGTTAAACTGTGAAAAAAATTAAAAAGTAAAGCACAACTAAAGACAATCAGTATGTATGCACGTGGAAGTGATGTAGGGTGCACTTTTGTTGTGATGATAGAGGTTGAATGAGGGCCTTCACTCTGAGCCACATCCCTGGCTCTATTTTTTTAGATCTCGGGACCTTGTGCTTGCTAGGCATGTGCTCTACTGCTGAGCTACATCCCCGGATTGCTATTATTTTGAGAAGTGAATTTTCTAAATTATTAAGTTACTCAGGATGAGTTTGAACTTTAGGTCCTCCTGCCTCAGTCTGAGTTCTGGTATTAGAGGTGTGTGTCACCATACCTGATTTAGTTTACAATTTTAAATAACATGGACAGCATAGTCCTTGTTAAAAAGATTAGATTAGAACAAAGTCAAACATATCTGAAAGGTGAAAACCCCAAAGCAAGTAAATAACTAAAGCAAAAGCAATGAAGTGGGAGTCATCTTGACATGAAGAATAGCTGGCATGCTTGCCTGGCACAGAGAAAAGTTTGGTGATAGAAGATGTCATAGAGTTTAGAGAGGCAGGTGTGGGAAATAATGTAGGACCTCGTTGGCTATTGTATGTAATTTTGTAATTTTTATTTCTTTATCCTACTTTCAATATTAAATTGGATTATGTACGGAAAAAATGTGTAGTAACCAGGAAATCACTCTCTAAGAGGTTTTATTATTTGAATATTGCATGTTTTTGTTTTCAGTTAGCCTAGCTATAGAAACCACTTCCCTTTCCCACTTCCCTTTACTTCACCTTTCATCAAAGGTGAATACTTTTTTGTAAGCAAGTAGAAAAGAATGCTGACATTTATTATTAGCACATTTTCATTTGGGGAGGTAGGGGCAAAGTTCAAAAAAGATTCTGAAATTAATGGATTTATTGTTTCTAACAGGAATGTAAAGAAGAAATCATAATGGATGCAAGTATTAATATGAATTCTGTTACCATCTCTGTTGAGGGAATGACATGTAATTCCTGTGTTTGGACCATTGAAAAGCATATTGGAAGCGTGAATGGTGTTCATCATGTTAAAGTAAGTTATTCTTTAAAAATTAGTGAAGTAAAATGCTGGTGACTAGAATTCTGTTAGAAGCAAGTCACTAAGTCCAGGTGACTTAGTGAAAATTGCTTCTGACATTGGGATAAAAGCAGAGGCACGGATCCATTTGGTAATAAAGATTATCAAATTTCTTTCTTTCTTTCTTTCTTTCTTTCTTTCTTTCTTTCTTTCTTTCTTTCTTTCTTTCTTTCTTTCGCAGTACTGGGGATTGAACTGAGAAGCCTGAGCTTGCCAGGCAAGTGCTTATTCTACTGAGCTATCTCTCTGGCCCCTTTCTTTGTCCTCTTAATTCCTCTTTCTAAAAAGAAAACAAAAAAGGACAACATCAGTTTAAAAACATCCTAATCCAGCCATGATGGAACATGGTTGTAATTCTAGTACTCCAGAGGCTGAGGTGGGAGGATCCTTATGCATTTGAGTCCAACCTTGGCTGTAAGTTCAAATACAGCCTGGGCTATATAGTAAGAACCTATCTCAACAAAACAAAACCACTACAAAAACATCAAAATGGATGAACTAATCTACTGATGAGTATTATATCCCCACAAACCAGTAACTGCCCAAAAGCCCCACCTATGAGTGCAAGAGTCTTTAAGGAGGCATTAGGATATTAATTCATTGGTTCTTTGTATTTATTTAGTCTTAATTTTGATCATTTTTATTCTTTATAATTTTCCTCCATAAAGTTGGAGTTTGCAGAGTTCTTGCTTGCCTAGTACCTTGAGGTGCATCATTAGATTGCTTTCTTTTTTTAATGTAATCATTGGTAGCAATCAGCTTCCCTCTTTGAACAGTTTTCATTATTTATGTCTCATAGGTTTTTTTTTTTTTTTTGGCGGAACCAGGGATTGAACTCAGACCCTTGTGCTTGCTAGGGAAGTGCTTATTCCACTGAGCCATCTCCTCAGCCCCTCATAGGTTTTGATATGTTGCATTGGTTTTATAGTGTGATTCTAGGAAGTCATTTTCATAACCAAATAGTAAAAGGGTAACAACAGTTATTATAGTGTATACCATTATGTTAAAAATAGTACAAGATATAAATCCAAATGATTCTTACAAAAAAGAAATGGATAGCACATACTTGTTTTTCAGTGACTTGAGATAAACTTTCAGTATAAATAAAACATAGCATATGTGTTAATATTTTCAATTTTATTTTTTCAATACTTTCAAAACAATGAAATATATAATTTTGATATTTGAATTTTTATCTACTTTTCTTTGATCTCTTGCTCTTTCTCTGGTCAAAATGTGTTCATGCTCTTATATCCAGTAGATATAATTTTATATTATTTCTAATGCTGTTTTTTCTATTACTATTTTGTATTCTTTAGGAAGAAAAAGAGAAGGGAGGATGAAATGGGAGGTGGTAATTGCTTGGAAGGAAAGCCCCCTCCCTTAAGAATATCAGGAATCTTGCTTTCTGGTGTCCTTTCTCTCCTTGGGACAGTCAGTCTACAGTAGAATTTCTTCATTCCATTTTTCCTCAAACATTAGTACATACACACAAAATAAAAACATAAAAAATAAGGTAACAAAATGCCTCAAAGACTTGCAACTGCCCCACTGAAGACTTGAGGGTCACTGATAGACAGCAAACCAAACACAAGAAATGTGTGTTGTATACAAAAATGATTGAAAGTGGATATAAAGAAACATGACAAGTACAAAGATGACCTAGCATCGTTGTGCAAATACTATACAGAATAACAAATGTCATTACTTGAGAAACAACTAATTGAAAGAGCCAAAATGGTTCCAAATATGAGTGACAAATTTATCAACAATACAGACTCCACCAAAAATTGCCAAACAGAAATCAGATATAATCCTATAGAATCCAGAAATAATAGAAATGGCAAATTTGAAGAAAGGATTTTAGAATTTGAAAAAATGTAATACATGATGATTTATTCAGAGAAACCTTAGAAATGATATGAAAGGAAGAAAAAATCTATTGAACAGCTAAGAAGACTAACCTAAGGCTAATTAGAGTTGGGGGAATTTATATACAGCCCGTGTACAATAAAAAATCTATTTATAGAAATAATAGCAGAAAACTTCCTGTTTATGAAGAAAGAACTCAATGTACAGCAAAGTGAGGCCCACAGATACTAAATGGCTACACTGAAAATAGACGTTCCCTATTGATGTAGGCAAATTTCCAGATGTGCAACAAAAAGAATCTGAAATGTGTCAGAGTGGAACATAAAATCCCTTGTAAATGTAAACCTATTTGGATCATGCTGACTTCTCAGTACAGTCTTTATTTTTTTTGGTGGAACTGGTGATTGAACTTAGGCCCTTGCGCTTGCCAGGTAAGTGCTTATTCTACTGAGCCATCTAATCGCCCCCCTCAATACAGACTTTAAAAGGCATAAAATCTTGAAGTGTTTCAAGCCTCAAATAAAACATTTTCCAACTCAGACAAATATATCTTGAAAACTATCTCAAAATTGATGGAGAAGTAAGGTCTTTCTGTGAGAATGCTTTAAGAGATTCATGAACACAAAACCAGCACTCCATAAAGTACTTAAGAATGTCTTGGACAGAGAAAATGAATGCAACAAAGTAAAAAGCTCAGATGGAGTGAATACATCAAACAAGGTGAGTAGTTAGATGAAAAGGGAACTCACTGTGTAGCCTACGCTGCCTCAAATTTGTTCCAGTCCTTCTGCCTTAGCCTCCCAAGTGCTGAGATTATAGCTGTGTGCCACCACACCTTGTGCATGTGATTTTTCTAGAGCTAGGATGCTTTGCTTTTGTCTGTTAATACAATATATTACACACTGCCTTTTCCCCCCCATTTTTTATGTATTTGGTTCAGGGTCTCACTAGGCAGCTTGGACTCACTTTGCTGATATCAATTTTTGTAGAGCTGGCAATGACAAATTTCTGGTGTGTTCTTCGTAGAGGAACCTGATCAAGGCTAAGAGGCCCAGTCACAAGTTGCAAGCCACTGGTCTACTGCTTCAGGAAGACCACTGTCTTGCCTTTTTGACACCCAATGAGGATGATCAAGATGGTGCCGGGAGTGATGCTAGCTCGAAGTTTCCTCACATGCTGACTGAAGGGTTTCTTGCCGTGGCTCAACAGCTTTTGTGGCACGTCTTCTGTAGGGTAGTATCTAGACATTTTTTTTTTGGTGGAACCAGGGATTGAACTCAGGCCCTTGCACTTGCCAGGGAAGAGCTTATTCCACTGAGCCATCTCCCTGACTCCCAATCTAGGCATTTTTTGAAGCTTAACCACCTGGCTACCTCCATTCTTGTTCCCACTGACCGGTTTTGTGATTATAGCAAGAACTTTCTCCTTTTTCTTCTCAACCTTTGATTTAGCAGCTGTGTACTGTGTCTTGTACAAAGCCTTCTGGAATACATAGCAGATTGGGAGTATCTGGCAATTCCTCTTACCAGGACAGGATTTCTTCAGAGGGGCTGCCCCTTCTTGGACTTTTTTGCTTTCACCTTACTCTTTTTACTAGTATCACTGGCAGAAGCCTTCTTGGCTTTGGGTTTCTTCTCTTTAGTGTCTGGCTTCTCAATTTTTCACCTGCCATCTTGCAAGATGGGAAAGAGAACTAAGTTTCCCCCAACAGCTTTTTGAGTTCTGCCTCTTATACTGCTGGCAACAATCCTCAGGTGGGCCTCCCACACACAGCACCACACCAGTTCAGCTCAGCTGGGTGTTACAAGTTGACCACCAGTTTCCTATCTACCACAGATAATAATGGCAGCTCTGCTTCATAATTATTTTTACTCCAAACCGTACCTTTTTACCCTTTCAGAGATTTCAAAGTGGTTCTGACATTTCAGTGAAATACAGTATCTATACTTTTTTATATGTATAGTGTACTTATCTGTGATCATGACTTTTTGTAAGATCTTTAGCAGATTTACTTATTGTTTTTATGACAGAAAATTGAACAGTTGGCACATCATAGTCCTCTATGAAGTTTGATACATTTCCTTAGTTTGAGTCATGAGAAATGTGGGGCTAGTATGTGAGCAATTTGTGTGTAAATCTGAAGCTGTAGGTGATTTTTTTCCATGTTTGAGTTTCTTACTCATTTTGGTCAGACAGCAGAATAATTTTTTTTTTTATTTTACTATCTGTAGGGGGAAAATCATTGTTTCTTAGTTGTTGACTATGCACTCTGGTTAGCTAATACTTTTTTTAAATTTTTTATTTATTTCTTTATTTGTGTGTGTGTGTGTGTGTGTGTGTCCAGCTCAGCCCACCAGGGGGCGGGGCTGGCTGGCATGTGGTGCTGGGGGATTGAACCGTGGTCCCTGGGCTTTGCTAAGCTTGTTCTAAGTAGGTGCTTTAGACCACTGAGCCATCTCACCAGCCCCGCTAATACTTTTGATAGTTGTGGGTAAAACAGTTTTATGTAGCTGGGCATGGTGGTGCATGCCTATATTTCTAAAACTGGGAGGTTTTCTTTTTTTTTTTTTTTGGTACCAGGGATCAGACTCAGGACCTTGTGTTTGCCAGGCAAGCACTTATTCTTCCCTGAACTATCTCTCCAGCCCCCAAAACTGTGGGAGGCTGACACAGGATGATCACAAGTTCAATCCCAGCTTGGGTGACTTAGTGACTTATCTTGTCTCAAAATTAAAAATACAAAAGAACTAGGGGTACAGTTTAGTATGAAGACCTTACTACTGCTACAACCAACCAACCCTAAACTCCTTTGTTTATACTGTAATATACCTTCTAAGTTTTCTGTCCGAGGCATTCCTGTGAACACTTAGATACAAATATTTCCATTTTCATGTGCTTCAAAGGTAGATTTTCCTTTGTATTAACCATCTGCTTTGGCATAACACCAGTTTTAGAGGCTCTTGCATCACCCCCCCACCAGAACCCTAAAAGGATATAGTTGCAAAAATTTAGTTTTCTGTGGTGGAAGAGCGAAGTTGAAAATGCTGGAATTGACAGGTCATTATTTTGTTTACTATGCTGCA